TACAAAAATGGTGGGCTTGGCCGCCACAAAGCTGCGCGCACTGATGTAGCACGCTTGGTAAAAGGCCTCGTGCGATGGCGTTGCCACCTGCGGGCATGCGTTGGGTGCAAGCTTCGTTGGCTCGCAACCACCTGTCTACAGCCCCCGTCGACCATCCACCACCAAGCTGCACGGATCAATAGAAGGCACGTCAGCGAGCGTGCTTCGTCCTCGCGCTTCCACGCCAGCAGCAGAAATCAGTTTTATGTCAGACAGTATGCGAAGGCCAGAGTGCAAGATACCTAGTCGGATGCAATGTTGGTCGATGCGAGAAGTAGCTCGGCTCACGGAGCTCGGCTACTTGTCGCGCCAAACCGCAATTTCGATCCCCGCAGCTTGGCATCATTCTGGCGTCTCACTTGTAAAACGGACAACGCTTAGCCAAAAAACGAGGTTGAAAGAGAAAAATCATATTTGCTCGTGGAAACCCGGGGTGATTTCCTCTGCTCCCATCTCGCATCTCGCAGCCTCACGGTTCGTATCTCGCCATCTCGGCGTTCGATGCTCGTGCTTGACAACCAGCTGTTTTCTGCACCCGCCTGTCCGGACCACAAGCGACGTTCGACGTCGCCATACAAATGGCAAGATCAAACGCAGGGGGCTAACCTGCATCCTATGTATAAAGATGGTATGGCGTTAGTCTCCCGGGTAAAAACCGTTTTGTAGAAGCATTGTTTGAGAAAAGAAGGGAAAAACTCGACTTGGTGTCATGGACATTTCCAGTTCGCCTGGCTACCAAATCGAACGCGTCGTCCTGTGACTCACAGCTCCGAGGTCGACGCCGCGGCATCTCATTTTGCCTTTGCACCGCCATGACCCAGTACCCGAACGACGACGGCGCGGTCGTCTGGACCATGCGCTCGGACCTCGTCGTCCTCGACGAGCCGGACGCCAAGGACACGATGCGCTACGAGCTCGACTTTCAGAAGCGAAAGCGGAAGCGCGTCCTTGTCCTCATCGCAGTCGCGCTCCTGACGGTTGGCATCGCGCTCGCCGTTATCTTGACGCAGACCGCGACGCAGTCGGCCGACACAAGCTCCGGCATGAACACAAACATCAACAACAACGACAACAACAATGGCGTGATCAAGACGACGAGCCCGTCGGCAGTGCCGTCGGTGCGTACACTGCCGCCGACGGTTCGCCCGACCTCGGTGTCGCCCACGATCGCACCCAACTCGTCGCAACCCGTCGTGACGACATACACACCAACGCCCATCACCGAAGAGCCGACTGATGAGCCGACTGATGAGCCGACCGACGAGCCGACGCAGACGCCGACAGTCAAGCCGACGCAGACGCCGACAGTCAAGCCAACGCTACAACCAACGGTCAAGCCAACGTTGAAGCCCACGGAAGCGCCGCGCCCGACACCGGGCCCGAGCCCGAGTCCGACGCAAGAGCCAAAGCCGACAATGGCACCGACGAGCCCGCAACCAAGCCCGAAGCCGAGCCCCCAGCCAACGCAAGGGCCTAGTCCTGCACCTAGTCCGGTGCCCAGCCTAAAGCCAACGCCTGCACCAACGCCTGCACCAACGCCTGCACCGAGCCCTGCACCGAGTCCTGTACCGAGCCCTGCACCGAGTCCGCAGCCCAGTCCGCAGCCCAGTCCGCAACCAAGCCCTGCGCCGAGCCCGAAGCCTAGTCCGCAGCCTACCCAAGCTCCAAGCCCGCAGCCATCGCAGAAGCCTAGTCCGTCACCGCAGCCGCAGCCCAGCCCGTCAGTATCGCAGCAGCCTGGGCCCCAGCCATCGCCAAGTGCATCGTCGTCATCAAATCCATCTGAGTCGCCAAAGCCAACTGAGTCGCCAAAGCCGTCGTCGGGCATTCCGTCGACGGGCGACCTCAAGGCCCA